CTGTTCCTGCTCCTCTTCCTCCTCATCCGTTCCCTGCTCCTCCTCCTCCTCTTCCTCCTTTTCTTCCTCCTCCTCCTCCGTCTCCTCCTCCTCCTCCTCCTCCTCCTCCTCCTCCTCCTCCTCATGCTCTTCCTCCTGTTGCTCCTCCTTCGCGCCCTTCTCACTTTCCGGACCCTCGACCCTGGGAGGCCAATGTGGAGCTCCGCGGCTTCCAAGACTGCCTGCCCGTGTTTTGCGGCAGCCTGCCCGAGGCCCTCGCCGCGCCAGCGGCGCCTCCCCCCCCCCAACAACAAATATTTCCGATCTTCTCGAATCGCGGAAAACTCAGCACGGAATGCCGTTCTCTATTTTCGGCCGCTGCGGGGCCCTTGCCAGGACCCGGGGCCGTCAACAAAGCTACGTTTGGATGAAGACTCGGTCCCGGGTGGGTCGAGAGCTCTGGGCCTCGACGTTCTGAGAATCGGGGGCGGCAAAGAGGGGGGTGCTGACTAGGGGGGGGTGGATATCATGGCGGGGGCCATGATATTTCCCCAGATTTCGTGGCGCCTCTTCTTAATTTCATTACGTCCCTGGCCCCCCCAATTGGGCCGCGCACATGCCGCCGGTCATGATTTGCACCCCCCCCTCTTGGACACCCCCCTCTTGGCCGCTCCCGAGAAATAAATAAAAAAAGCATGGTGCCCGGGGGTCTGAGCCACACTTCCCCTGTTGCATCCTCATTCGTTATCTTGCTGCTCCTCCTCCGTCCTCCGCGTCTCTCCAGGCCCCCTGGGTCAGAGCAGATGGGGTCGGAGGATCACGCCGCATCGCTGATGCCTCGGCGATGCGGCTCGATGTGGAACCCGATGTTATCCACCCCGACGCCGCCGATGCATCGCGGGCGTCGCCGATGTGGCGGCGATGCATCGGCAATGCGACGCGATTCTCCGGCCCCATCTTCTCGGACTCCGTCTGGGAGGCCCCTAGTCCCGAGGATGAGGAGAAGGGAGGAGGAGCAGGAGGAGGAGGACGAGGAGGAGGAGGAGGACGAGGAGGAGGACGAGGAGGGGCCTCTCTTACAGTAGACACCTTTTGTCAGCAGCGAAGGCGGGCGCCAACGCGTTCGGGCAGCCGGCGGGCCGCGCTGGAGCTAGGGGCAGACTCCAGTGCGCCTATAGGGGACGAAGAGGGCGGCCGCGAGGAGGCACGCGGGAGGAGGCCACAGGTGTTGAGAATGTCGGCCACGAGGAGGGCGCAACACACGGCTTAGGGCACCCGAAGGTGGTGCCCATGCAGTAAGAGACGTTGCCCGAAGAAGAATACAAGGGGGCACGTTTGTTGTTGGGGCTTGGAGCTCCCTGAGGTGCCCCAGGGCTGCTATGGGCTCGCATGGCCACCGGGAGATGGGAAATTCAAGTGGGGCACCTACTGGCATGCCGGATTCATAATTACGTGCGTGCAGTGCGCAACCCAAGACCGAAGACCACGACAGAACGCGGTGCGCGTGCAGGGCAGCATGTTGTCCCATGAAAAGTTGGCAGCATGCGCAAGCGAGTCGTGAGGGGATCAGCGCTTGCAGTCTAACCCGAAAGTTGCTCACTGTTGAGAACCTCGTATCAGCGAGCGAACAACGGTATAACATAAACTTGTTCGCTGTCGGGGGCGCCTGTCCCTGGGCGGCTGGAAAGTCTATACCCCTGCGGTGCCACCGTAGGGGTATAAACGTTCCAGCCGCCCAGGGACGGGCGCCCCCGAGAGCGAACAAGTTTATGTTGTACCGTTCTTCGCCCGTTAAAATCACAAGAAAGCCCAAGCTCAGAGCCCCGAATCATCAGGGGTAACTCGGGTCAGGGCTAACTCGGGTTCCCTTTTCGGGAATCCAAGCCCGAGTTACCCCGGACCCGAGTTAGCCCGGATAGCTCGGGCGCCCAACAAGCGGGCCCTGGAACTGCCGCACGCCCTCGTGCCAGGGCGCCCTCGGCGCCCATACAGAGAAAGGCGCCTTGGCAGAGCTGCGGAGGGTTATCGCTCCGCAGGGGACGCCTTGCAGGCACCAGTCTCACCTGCCTCCTCCTCCTCCTCCTCCTCCTCCTCCTCCTCCTCCTCCTCCTCCCCTCCTCCTCCTCCTCCTTTTCCTCCTCCCTCCTCCTCCTCCTCCTCCTCCTCCTCCTCCTCCTCCTCCTCCTCCTGCTCCGCCTCTCGGATCACAGCATCTGCCCTTGCCTGGCACACCTTTGCTGGCGTCCGTCGTATGATGCTACAGTGGCTTGCAATGGGTGGAGGCTGATGTTCTACCTCGGGTCTTTCAGGTACGCTTGCTCCCCCTCCCCCTCGGAGGCGCCGACGGCTGCTGGCTCGCAGTGGTCGCTCAGCGCCGCTGCTTCCGAGGGCGCGGCCATGCGGACATGTGGAGGGGCGGCCTCCTTGCCTGACTTGGCCTGTCTATGCCACGACGGCCCACCATGCCGCTGACCGCTACAGTGGGCCCCTCGTAGGCTGCGTGTTGTACTGAGGGTGATCGCAGGAGCGGTGCGGCGTCCGTCGAGAGCCACCGGCCGCACCGGACAGCTTGGCGATTTCAATGTTTCGCCCCCCGGAGTTCCCCTATGTCACTCTCGATAGGCATCAGCTTGGCAAGTGGTAATCAGCAGCAGACGAACTCCCACGGGCCCGATCCCGATCCGATCCGCCTCCTCCTCTTGTTCCCCGAGCTCCTCGTCCTCCTTCTCCATCTCCTCCTCCTCCTCCTCGATCTCCTCCTCCTGCTCCTCCTCCTCCTCCTCCTCCTCTTTCTCCTCCTCGCCCCCCCCCCGCCACACAACCTCCCTTCGAGGTCGAGCACGCCAACAGCAGCCTCGCGAACCTGTCCTACGGGCAGAGCGCGACCTACACTTGTGAGCAGGGCTTCTCCACAGGCGGCGACGCAGACTCACCCAAGGAGTTCACCGTCAGCTGCACCGCGTGTGGCTCGCTCTCGTCCCTGGGCGAGTGCAAGATCATCAGCTGCGGGCACCTGCCTTCCGTTTCGTTCTCCACGGCTACGGAGGCAGAGCTGTTCTACAAGGAAGCAGCGTGCGACTCAAACGCTGTTCCGGTGAAACTGTTGCCAACCGTGCTGCCTCAAAATACGTTTTACGGTTCGCCAGGCGAAGGACCCAACCATATGTAGCTGTGAGTACCGCAAGGCAGGTGGGCCGGTGTCCCTATGGGGCTGTCCACGAGCCGTGGGCAGCCACATGGGGACACCTGTCCACGGCTCGTGGACAGGTGTCCCTATGGGGCTGCGACACGTGCGAGGCATGTGTCAGGGACCAGCGACAGGAGCGCGGCCAGGGCGAGCGACATGACGGACTCGGCCCACAGCTGCGTACGGACCTGTTCACGTCGGCCTCCTGTGGAGCTCCCACCGAGCTTGGAGAAGAGCATGGCAGGGGAAAGCGACATGAGCCCACGACTGCATGCGGACCTGTTCATGTCGGCCCTGCGACTTGAAAAGCGTGGCAGGGGCGATCGAAATGAGCCCGCGATTGCATGCGGGCATTTTCATATTGGCCTTATCTGGAGCTCATATGCGACTTGAAAGACGTGGCAGGGCCGGGCGAAATGAGCCCGCGATTGCATGCCTGCGTTTTCGTGTCGGCCTTCTGTGGAGCTCCCCTGGTGCTTGAAAGACCTGGCATGGGCGGGCGAAACGAGCCCACGACTGCATGCGGACGTGTTCATGTCGGCCTTCTCTGGCGCTCCTATGGCGCTTGAAAATCGTGGCAGGGGTGTGCCAGAGCAGAGACAGAGGCGAGGAGGGGGAGGAGGACGAGGAGGGCCGGGAGAGGACGCGGGGCGCTGCTGATTCAAAACGAGGACCCAACACGACAGGATGCTGGGGAACAAAACCTGCCTTCCAGTCCAGCGTCGTCAAGCCGCAATGCGCCCTGGGACGACGTCATGCGCAACGGGCGCTATGGGTTGCTTTTCGTTGTTTTTGGTGGCACGGCGTTGTGCTGGTGTTCTGCGTTTCGTTTTCGTTGCTTTGCTGCTGGTGAGCCTACCCCCCCTAACGTCTCCCCAGACAAGGTACTCCAGATTTCGTAATAAAAGGGAGGGGGTCTGGACCCTCCAACACGAGAAGTTTTAGACCCCCCCCCGTGGGAGAACCCTCCAAAACATCGTCCCCAGGCCCCCCCAGGCCCTCCAAGATAGCCTGGAAGAGACCCCCCCCCGAAATGAGACCCCCTCCCTTTTATTACGAAATCTGGAGTACCCCCCCCCTGACGTTTCCCCAGACCAGGTATGGCTCTCGGTACCAGCTCGGGCCTCTGGCGGCCGCTCGGGACGCTGCGGGCACCCGGGACGCCGTCGGCGGGGCGCAGCCGCGGGAACGCACCCCGAGGTTGGAAAGCCGCCGAAAACTAGCAAATGTTCGACGACCCTCCCACCGTTTGCAAGGATCGGGCCGGACGAAAGGGGGGGATTGGGAAAGGGGGGGTTACGGAATTTGCTGCACGCAGCTGGTCTCGGCCTCAGCGAGGGGTCCATTCCTCGATACAGGGGCGCCTCCTGGCGCCGGGAGGCGCTGGGGAAATCAGCTACGTGAGCGGATTCTCAAACCCCCCCTTTGCTATCCCCCCCTTTCGCCCGACCCGAAAGGACGTCGGCAAGTACGAGTGCGACGAGGGGCACACCATCTCCGGGCAGCCTCCGCACGTGAGCCCCTCCTACTTCGAGGCCGCGTGCCAGGCGGACGGCACCTTCTACGGCATCAAGAACTGCCAGCCGGTCACCTGCGGCGTGCCCACGCCCGCCAACCACTCCCTGAACACGCCGACCGCGGAGGTGCTCTACGGCGAGGAGCCTGGGGATGCCAGCGTGCTCGTTTACAAAACACAGGCCTCGGAAAATTAGCGACCGCTCATGCCATATTCAACTGTCAATGCCCCCCTCCCCCCAATGATCAAAGTTGGGTGTGGCTCGGATGAGTCGCACTTCGACCGCAGTCTTCTCCGCGCTTGCCAACGTTGAATTTGGGGGGAGGGGGGAGTGTCCATAAATTGTTCCCTTCTACCGTGCCGGAGTGGTGTGTCCCTTGATGCCCTCGCGTCGTGACAGAAAGCACAAGGGAGGTGGTTTCTTTACCACTGTTGGCCTCTGGGGCCTCTGGGGGCCCTCACCGGTGCCCGGGACCCCCCTCTTTCCTCCCCCCCCGCTTCCTCTCCGGACGGAGGCGGCAGTCGTCGTCCGGCGGCCGCTTTCTCGCGCGCTCCGAACCCGTCGATGTGTTCCACCAGGCTTCCGACTCCATGCCGCTTCCCGCGTTGAACAAGATTTTAAACATAATATATATATATATATGTATACATACATATAAATATATATATATATATAAATAAATAATACAGAAAATCGGTGCCAGGGACAGTCGACAAAACGATCCGGGATGGAGAGGCTGTCCGCGGGCAGAGGTCCAGACCTCCAGACCTCGGAGGAGCCACGCCGTGGACAGATCGTGACGTCGGACGCCCGGGCATGCAGGGATAGATCAACCAGGCCTGCGGGCACCCCCAGGCCAGTGCCTTGACCACAAGTGGGGTGGGGACGGGGGCCCCAGATCACGATCTTGGCCGCGGTATCGCTCCCCCTGGCGGCACAATATCGTCCCCAAGCGGCCCAGGATGCCAGTGAGGTGGCCCGCGTGGACCCAACACACAGCCCCACAAAGCTCCAAGACTGGGGCTCCCGAAGGCGGTCCAGGAGAGCCCCAAGGAAGCCCTTGAGAAGCTGAAGTTATGGTTCTCTCGTAGCTTTGTTGAATGATTGTCGCGGTGTCTCTCATTCGGTCGTACGAGCGTCCACGACGGCTCGAGAGGCCCCAAAGATCGGTTCCAGACAGCCCAAATTAGGCCCCGTCAGGCTTTCCTGCTTGCCCCGAGACTGACCAAGAAGGGCCCACAGCAACCACAGAGGGCTTGGCGTCGGCCCAAGAGGGCGTCAATAGAGCCCTCGTCGGCGATGACCTGATACTGCTGGGGCCTAAAGCCCATATGTGTATATACATATATATAGAGAGAGAGAAGGAATGAAAGAAAAACAACACCAACAACAATCATGTTGAGACTTTTCGTTCGTATCTGCTCGCGTGTCCAACATGCATATCCCAAACCCTGGATACCCGCCCTCTTCGTCTTCGATCGTACCCCCTTTTGGGGGGTATAGTCATTCCCTGCAACGTGTGGTTGGTGAAGCCCTCGAAAACAAAGGGTAACAGATAAGGGGAGAGAATGAGGACGAAGAGATCGGAGGAAGGGAGGGGCAAGAAGGAGGGAGGACGATGATTTGCGCTGTGAGTGGCGATTCAGCTTGCGCCATGGCTTGCGCCAGCCATTCCAGGACAGGTTAACAATAAGTTTCGCCATGGGTCGCGCCTAAACAGCGCCACGTACCACCCCCTTGGAAGAACAGATCGTGGATGCCCTCCCGGGGGGACGTACACCTGCGAACTGGTGTCAGAAATAAAAATGCGTGGAACCCTGAAAAGAAGTGGGATGTTGGGAGAGGGGGGCGGAAGGATAGTGAGAATTGCAACCGTGTCGAGAGGAGCGCGGAAGCCACAAGTGACAGCGCGATTCTTCAGTAAATTATGAGGAAATATCACGCGGGTGCCGCGATCCCGCGGTAAATTGCAAGGAAGTCCCAAGCGAGAGCGCGAATCTTCAATACATTGTGAGGAAGTAGCAGGCGGGAGCCGCTGTTGTTCTAAACCGGGGGCCAACGATTCAGTTTGACCTTCAAGACCTTCCCTGCTAAAAATCACGGCGCGAGCCCCGGGAAGGGCATTTCAATCAAAAAATAGCAATGTGCACCGGACGGGGGGATCAACAATAATTATTCTGCAGAAGTGAGAGTTCAATAACAACAACAACAACAACAACAACAACAACAACAACAACAACAACAATTACTAGCACGTGGGGACACACCGTTCTCACCAGTGCCAGGGTTTTCATAGGAGGCGGGCAATATCCCCAGTTTGTGGGGGGGCCGGTTCAAGCTCTACCAAATTTCCAAACGACTCTTCGCCACCACCCACACCCAGCTTCCCGCCCTATGACGTTCGGACACTTCACTTCGTGGCATGCGGACGACCGTGGCTACTATTCAGGGCCCCGCGGCCGACGACGACGGCGTGCGCGCGCGAAGAAAAAACGAATGTGTCCCGCATGGTATTATTTGACAGGGATGATGGCCCTGGCAGGTGCGCAACCGTTGTTGCAGAAGTTCGAAAAAGTTGCTCGCAAAAGCCCGTTTGACAGAAATGTTTAAAAAGTGTTGGGTTTCCTACGAATCCGCAAGAGCGCGCGGGATGAAATTTTGACAATTTTTTTTGAAAAACCATTGGTTTTTTGATGTTTTTATGTTAAAATCGCTACGAAAACTAAGGTTTTGGAAGGATTTCGTCTTGCGCGCGCGAATGTCCACTTTACCTTGTTTTTTGCAAGGGATTATTGAAGTTTGGTTATGTTAGAACAAGAAGTGTCCACTTTAGCTTATTATTTGCAAGGGAAAACCGATCGTAACAACACAACCGGATCTGGACCAACCCGTTTTGCTCGAGACTTCCTAACGAAAATGATGAAAATGAGGCTGCGGCCTAGGCGCGGCGGGGGGGTCGCGCACCAGGGGCCCCAACAATAATTATTCTTAAGAAGAAATAATGTTCAACAAAGAAGAAGAAGAAGAAGAAGAAGAAGAAGAAGAAGAAGAAGAAAGTACTCCCCAAGAGGGGACGACCGCGATTCGGACAAGCGTGCCCGCTGGTGGGCGAAGAGTGACTCCGACACCCAAGGCTGACGTGCTCCCGACACGGCCTACCTCAACGTCCTTATTAGGGACCTGCCCATGGACACCTGTTCCCCCCACCTCCAGCCACCCGTTGCCCCGGAGGGGCTTGTTTCACCTCGCTGCGCCCGGCTCAGGCCGCAATGCCCGGGGCCACCCTCCGCTGGGGCGAAGGCTACCCCCACATCTCACCCACGGCGCAGCTTAGCTAGACAGCCCACGCTGGATAAGTGGACCACCATCCTCCTTTTCGGGCCTCACACGGGGGGACCCCCCCACCGGCACCCGACATCTCACCCTCACTGGCACGGCGGGGCCCGCCTGGCTCGCGCAAGCAGGCCTCCCTGGCTCCCAGACTTTGCTGTCCGATGACGACAGCCTGCTCGCGTGCCATGGGCAGGAGGTGGGCCACGGCATCCCCCCCGCCCGCCTGGCGGCGAACTCGACCTAGCTAGGTCACAGTTTTGTCACACTGCAGGCGCACAAACATCAGCGGCGGTTAGCTGCGACCCTGGAGGACCAACACCCACCATCCCCACAGAGGTGCCAGTCTCCGCGTTGGCAGACCAGCATTCAGCGTGGCAGGACGTCCACTCCAGACCACACCATCGAACGGCACCAACACCGGGCGAAGGACGTATCACTCGTTACTATTTGCTCTTGAGCGGCGGTTAGCTGCGACCCTGGAGGACCCTCGAGAATGGCGACCATGTCCCTTGACAGACAGATCTGGGGCCCGTTCGATGGGCGTTGGGGTGCTTCTCCTCGCCTCTCCCCTCGGGCCCCTCTCGGGCCAGGCGGGTGTCCCCCGCCCTTGGCCCCCGGGGCTCGCCAGGCGTGCCGACTGACGCCGTTGGCTTCGTCCCCCCTCCCCAGGGCCGCCCTTGACCCCCGCTGTCCGTGGTAAGGTTCCTCACTTTCAGCGGCGGTTAGCTGCGACCCTGGAGGCCCACGCGGTGCGTGGTTGACGGCGACCCCGAGTCCCGCGGGAAGGGCGGAAGCGGCGGACATGGTCTGCCCATGGTGGCCGTCGGCTCTCACTCACGGCTGCTACAGCGCAGCTTCCCCCAGGTCGCCCCACCCAACTGCAATGGTTCTCCCACTTGCTTGGACACACGCCACACACCGCCCCTGGAGGTACAGCCAGCTTTGTGTACTTGGAGGATAAGGCCGTCCCTCGGTGGCCTTTTGCGTACTTCAGGCGGCAGCTGCCTCACCACCAGTGCAGCACCCCTCTGGATCCCTCTGCCTCGCTGGCGATGCTCACCACGCCTGCCTGGCCTTCTCCTCTAGCCCACCTGGCCTGGCGCTGCGCCGTTGTCCACGGGGCCGGCTCGCGGTCGTCCGGGCCTACCGCGTGCATTGTTTGGTGGACTTGTGGGTGCTGTGATCGCCACGGAGTGGTTCAGCCTTTCGCAGCAGCAGCAGCAGCAACCCGGGCTCATCCTCCCGCTCCCGGCAGGTCGCGTCGTTCCACGTTCCTCGGCAGCTCAGCTCCCCTAGCCAGCACACGTCGTTGGGACGGTTGGAGCCTGGCGCCTCACTGGCGACTCGCTCATCGGGCTTCGCGCCTGCCCCCACGCAGTATGACGGACACGTTTGCCCCGGTACACGTCATGTCGCTGTGTGGGTCATGCTTCACGGCATGCATCAAATTCTTCGACATTTTGTCCATTGCACGTGCCCGAGCTTCCCAGGATGCCCCCTGCCGTCAGCTTCCCCACAGCCCCGCGGCTGCTTTGCGAGTGGGCTGGCCGGCTAGCGGCGCGTCTTGTAGCCAATTCGGCTTGCCCGTCGGCCCGGACACCCTGCTCGCCGCGCGCGCGCTCTTCGCTCGCGGCCGCGACCGAAAAAAAAAGTAACCCCACCAGCCCATCCAGAAACGATGCCCAGAGGAATTGCCTCGATCAGGGAAGTGGGCAGCACGCAGAGGAAGGGTCCCCCAGTGGAGGCCTCCTGGAGCGTCTTGGGTGCCTCAGAGAGCTTCTGGGGGCCTCTTGGGGGTCTTTTGGGAGCATCTTGGAGGCATCTTGGGCGCCTGTTGGGGCCTCCTGGGCGCCTCTTGGGGCCCTCTTGAAGCGCTCTTGGGAGCCTTGGGAGCGCTCTTGGGGCCATCTTGGGGGACGTCAATCAAACAAGAAGCGAGCATTAGTTAGCGTTGCCCCTCGGGAGCCCAGACAATCGCCTCTTGGGGCGCTCTTGGAGCGCTCTTGGGGCTCTCTGGCGCCTCTCTTGGAGCCCTCTTGGGCCATTTTGGAGCCATCTTGAGGCCTCGGATGGCCATCGGAAGCGAAAAGGCGAGAAAGCCAAACACATAGAATTTCCTAAGGTTTTGGCCTCTTCGGGGCCTCCTGGGGGAGCTTTTTGGCCACTGGGAGCCGCCTTGGAGCGGTTTTGGGACATCTTGGAGCATCGTGGGAGCCATTATGAGACATTTTGGGATATGTTGAGCCATCTTGGAGGTCATCTTGGGCTCTCCCAGGCGCTCTTGGCGTCATCTTAATCAATGCCCCCCAAGAGGCCAACATGTGGCTAAAACCTTTTCTGTAAAATCAATGATTTGGCATTCTCGCCGAAGCCTCTTGGAGCATCTTTGGTGCCTCTGGGGTATTTGGGGGCCTCTTGGGGGTCTCTTGGGAGCCTCTTGGGGGTTCCTGACCACCTCTTGGCCCTCTCGGGGCACCGTTTGGAGCCTTGGGGGCCATCTTTGGGCCATCTTGGGCGAGATCGATCACAGGAGGGGGGTGACTAATTAGGGCCCCCCTCCTTAGGATGCCAAAATGGGGCCCAAACCCAACTATGACCAATGATTTTGGCTTCCTCGCCGAGGCCGTTTTGGACGCTTCGACACCTCGCGAAGCCCCCTGTCCAGGTCCAGGGGAGGGAGTTGGGGGAGGGGTACCCCCCCCCCTACGGGGAAGAAGGAGGGGTGGAAGAGGAAACTCCCTAAGCCACCGACGCCCAGAGGGCTGCTGGGATTATAGTTGTTAGGTCATTTGCGGGACCGCAGTGACATATCATGGCCATAACATTATAATGGTCATAAACTCATGGTCATAATAGTAGCGTGCGAGACCCCTCTCCTCTGGCGCGCTCCGCGCCTCAGCGAGAGGGGCCCAGCGCCGATCCGAAAGTTCTGCGCGTACCTCCGAGCTGTTACGTCTATGTCATTGTTGGTTCCTTTATCGAAAGGGGTCCCCCATCATTCCGATCACGGACAAGCTCGATGCCAGCGTCACATCTAACCAGGGTGCCGAGGCTTCTTCTGAGGGGGAGGAGGGGGGTCGCGCCTGGGTATCCACCAGCACCGGACCACTGGACCCCCATCAGCGAGCCTGAACATGGCCAGGCATACCGCACACCCAACGCGAGATTCTTGACACTTCGCGTGTCCCCACCACCCAGTCCAGCAGCAATGCCCAGGCGAGTTGACGTGATTAGGGAATCGTGGGGATAATCAGTGGATCAAAGAGAGGGGGGCAGCCGTCGAACCGCGCGGGATCAGCCTGAGCAGATCCAAGAGTCAACTAGAAAGGCACCTGCGGATTTGTCGATACGGGAGTATCTTGGAAGCTGATTTGGACCATCTTGGGGGCCCGTCTGGGCAATGTTTGAAGCCTGTGGAGGCTCTCTTGGAGCCCTGTCGGGGCCCTCATGGGACTCCTGTGATATTCGTTAAAGCCTTTCGGGCCCTCTTGGTGCCATCTGGGAGGCCATCAAACAACAAGAAGGCGGCGCGTGGTACCTCCGTAGCCATTTTGGCTCAAGCCATTTTGGCTCAAGTTGGAAACCTTGCCCTGGGGCTTCCAGCTTGGGCAGAGCTGACGGGGCGGCTCGAAAGTTTCCGAGTCACGATCCTGTCAGGTCACGAGGGTCAACCACAGCCCGCCTGCTGGCAGTTCTTGTTGGCCACTCACCTCCTACATTTTGTCTCTCCGTTTCTCCGCCGCGATGGGGAAATCGCGCCGTGCGGACCGAAGGACTCTTGCCCGCCCCGCTTCGCCATCATCCTCGTCCGCTGCCAGGCGTTCTGCGAGTCGAAGCCCCGTCGGTCACCAGGACGAGGCTTCAGTTGCTCGCCAGTTGCTTGATGTCTCTGGCACTCTCGCCTCCATGCACCAGGTGATGATGCAGAATACGCAAGACAGTGTTGACCTGAGGACGACTGTGAACACTAGCCTGTCACGGTGCGCCCAACTGTCTGACCAAGTTGTGCTGCGTGGTCCAGATGTGAAACGGAAGCATGATGAACTACAGAACCAGTTCGTTCATGCCTTGCGTGCCCAGGAACAGACGATTGACCAGTTGCAGCTCCAGGTCCAGAACCCCCCGCCGGCGATGACAGTGGACTCCCCCGAGCTCTCTTCTAAGTGTAACGACATCGAGCGCCAATTGAAGGACCTCTCTGGCCGTTAGAAGATCTCAGAGACCCAGATTTGTGAAATGTTATCACCCGCTACGCCCCCGTCGTCGGTTTCGAACGCTGGCTCCTCCACTGGCAGGTCACCCGTGGGATCTTCAGCGCGCGTGGAGAAAGCTCAGAATGATACGCGCAAGGTGGTTATATTGGGTTTCCCTCGGCCGCTCTTGGTGCAAAATCTCCCGGATGTGGAGACTGCCTGTGTTTCTCAATTTGCGAGTTCTGCTGATCACCCGAAGATCAGTGTCAGGGCCTTCGACCTGCCGAAAGCAGGAAGCGCGAATGCTGCCAGCTCGTTGCTCGATAATTTCTCTAGGAGCGGAGGCAACTGGTCTCACCACGATCCTCTTCACCCTGCTGCCCCCTTCTCGCTCCGCGTTCGCCGCGATCTCGACTTCTCGGCTCGGCAATTTGTTCCTGTCGCTCGGGCGCTATTGTGCCCGCCTGAGTGAACCCCTCACCCCGAAAGGTTCCACGGTTGGGAGCAGAGGCTTCAGCGGGACTGCCAACGTCCTCCGCCAGGCTCACGACCCTGTTCCGGCTGTGGAACTTGTGGTCAACGACAACCAGTCGATTTCGGTCACTTGCGACCGCGACGTGTTCGTAGAATTTGGCATCCAAGACCAAACCCTTCTGCGGAGCAGGCAGTGGCGGCGCAGCTGCGCCGTCCCTCTGCACGCTGAAGCAGGCAGTAGTACAGTTCGGGTGCCCCCCCCCCTTCGCTCGCCCCCCCCCCCGCTCCTCTCCTTCGCCACCTGGAACACGGAGGCCCTGTCCTCTTCTATCAAGACAGACTCTTGGCGGGCTTCAGCTCGACACTCACACCGCCTACGATTATGCCACGCGCACCATGCCATTGCAGTGCAAGAAACACATGGGCATGAAGGAGACACCGTCGAGTTGCGGCATCAGCTTCCTGAGCGCGAGTTCGGGCACGCGTGTTTCACGGAATCTGTGCGGAGGGCGGGGTTGTCACTGCTGCTTCGCCTGCGCTCGCTTCCCTTTTCTCCACGATCGCACATGCCTTTTTGGTCACTGGGCGAGTGCTGAAGAGTGGGCGTCAGGGGACTAGTGGTACATTGATCGTTTGCAATATACACTTGCCGAACACTTCCGACTCTCTTGCTGTCTTCTCTGGCGTCTTGACGGTTATCCAGCAAGATCTTCTCCGCCACTGCGACGGCGGCGCTGAATTCGAGGCTCGCGCTTTATTGATGGGAGACTAGAACCTCGCTCTTGAGGAGAAGGGGTGGTTCGCCAGGGATGGAAGAGGCTTCTCTGCGGGCGACACCGCGCAGACACGTGTGTTTCGCCGTCTGCTTCCGCACCTCGCCGAGATTTACCAGAGCGCCGACGCCCGCATGGGCAAGAAGGGTCCGGGGGTCGACAACACGTCCGGGATCGATCGAGTTTACTCCTCTCTCCTTGTTGCCCTGATCCGCGATCCCACCATCACGAAGTCTACGATTGGGGCCCTGAAATCTTGCATGCCGAGTGACCACATCCCTGTGCAAAAACGATCCTCGAACGTTTTAGGCCCGACCCTGACCACCCGAACATCCCTTGCTGGGTTGAGAAGTTGCCTGAATGTGGGAAGCCTCTGGAGACCCTCCTGGAGGAGACACCTGAAGACTGGGACGTCTGGGCCAAACCTTCGACGCCGAAGGCTTTCTGCTTCGAGGCTGGGAAGGCCGCCAGAGGAGCGCTTCGCTGCCGGCAGGCGGTCTCTCGGCAGGAACGGCACTACTGAACGCTCAACGCTCTTCGCGCTGCGCAGATGGAAGAGACCTCCCGCGCGCTGCTTGCCATTCGCTGCTACCCTCGGTTTCGTTCCCATTGTGATGACCTCTGCACGCGTTCTGCCTGCATCGCCAGATTCCCGGGCATGAGGAGAGGGGGGTCCAAGCTGCTCGCGCGGACGATGACACGAAACGTTCGGTGACTGCTCGGTTACGGAGGAGGAAGGAGCTGTGGCATGTTTCGGAAACGCACTGTCTTGGGCTCTGGTGAACCCCGATGGCAGCCATACTCGCTCGTTGGAAGAGACTGCCCGTGTTCTCGGGGATCACTGGGCCGCCGTTCTTGTTGCCCTTGAAGTTGACGCGTCCAGCTGGAATGACATCGCCCCGCACGTTCGCTCGATCGAAGGCCCACTGAACCGTGGGTGGATTCTACCGTGCCCTGAATGGTGGGAAATGGTATTAGGACGAACCCACAGCACTCCTGGCCCCGGCGGGCTACCCTACGCGGTTTCGCCACGTCCTTGCACCTCTCGCGTGTTGTACTCTTGTTACCTCGCCTTTTTTTGATGGCCAGATCTTCTCTGTCTCTCTCTCTTTCTCTCTCTCTCTCTCTCTCTCTCTCTCTCCCTCCGTCTCTCTCTCTCTCTCTCTCTCTCTTTTTTTTTTTCTCTCTCTCTCTCTCTCTCTCTCTCTCTCCAATGACATGCCGCGCAGCTTGATGCTTTTCCCTCCGAAGGGCTCGGGCCCGTAGGATGTGCCGGGGCAGGCTTTGAACCGCGAGGCCCACTGCGCGCGGCCCCTCAGCCTTGGGAACACGGATGTGAAGATCCTCGCGGTTGCTTGCATTGCGCCAGTAGTTGGCAATACCTCGCACCTCGTTGGTGCTGACCAGATATGCGCACCGTGGAGGGACATGGTTGAGAACGTGGTTAGGGCGGAGGCGTGGGGAGTCACCAGATACATGAGGGATGACAAGCATTCTGCCATTTTGTTGACCGGCTTTGCTTCGGCGATCCCGAGCCTGGCGCAGAGTTGGCTCTGTTATGCGCTTCGTGTAATTGGGATTCCTGCCCGCATCATCCAGTTCATAGCCATGATGCATGCCGCTAGCATTGCGACCATGACTGTTGGGGGCCAACGGTGTCAGTCCATTTCCATCCCGGCTGGTGTCAAACAAGGCTGTCCCGCCTCAATGTTCCTCTTCGCGCTTGCCGCAAGCCCTCTCCTGTCCTGGATTCGGCAACGGTGCGTGGCGAACGTCGACTTGCAGCGTGCGTACGCAGACGACTTCTGTTTCGGCGCTCTGAAAGTCTTAACCGATCTAGGTGTGCTCCTCGCTGCGCTCATGGCCCTTGCTCCGATTGCGAACGTACGTCTTAACTTCAAGAAGTGCCAGATTATCATTTGTTGCGGCACGGACGCAGGTAGGCTGGCGACCGTTTTGGAGACGTTTGGTGCACCATTAAGCCTGCTCCAGGTGGCCCAGTGGGTCGTTTATCTGGGGTTCCCGATTGGGCCGAATGCCCCCCCCGAGGTCTGGCCCGCCGTCCTGCGCAGTTTCGTGTCGAGGGTACACCAGACTCGCCATCTCGGTCTAGGTATCGCTCAGTCTGCTTGTGCGTTCAGTGTCATGCGTGCGTCGAAGCTGCTCTTCCGCTCGCAGTTGCACCCGCGTAGCGCCATTACGTATAACATCGCCGCGAGGCTGCAAGCGATTGGTTTCCGCACTGAGTTCGTCGAGCTTGACGCTGTTGCGCGTGCCGCCGCGATTCGCTACCATCTCAAATCGGACTGCCTCTATGGTGTCTTGGATGACTCGATCGGGCTCGGGAGGACCCCGAACACATCCTTTATAGGTGGTTCCGTGGTTGGCATGCTCAGAGTTTCTTGGGGTGCATGCGGTCTCTATTGTTGGATTGGTAATCTGTGCTATCGGTCGAAATGACAGCTGCTACCACTAAACTTCAACATAAATTGTACACCCACTTCAGGCCTCTAGAAACGCCTGAACCTGCTCGTGCCACTCTTCTTCGTCGTGCTCACTACTTCTGCCCTGAAGCCTTGCCTCAACATATCGGCTGTATGTGTGAGAACATCAAGCGCATGCGCAACGCGACCTCAATGCATTTGGGGATTGCACCGTTGAGAATGCTGACAGGATCTATATGCACCAATGCCAGCTTCCATTCGGCCGCCCGTGGGTGCTTGTTTGGTTGCCAGGCGTCCGATCGGAGTGACACGGACTCACTCCGGCATCATTCCAATTACCCGCTATTCCAATGGGAAGGAAGGTGAATGTGTATCGACGCGAGATGAGTCCTCACTGGTTCCCCTCCTGCCTCCTCTTGTTGTTCGATGATGTGTCTGCTACTTTGGAGCGTGCTGTCTGCATGGATGCTTTCTTGTGCGCGTTGAACGCCCGCCGCCTCTCGCATTCTCCCGCTCCGTAGCTGGTGCTTGAGGCGCGGCTACGCGCCACGGCCAGGCGTCACCCCAAGCTCACCGCTGCTTGGAGCGATGCTGGCCCCTTTCTCACCCACCGCCTGGCGAGGCAGGCCGCCCCTCGTCAGGAAGCGCTGCCGCTGCGGGCGCCTGGCACCCCACGCGGCAGGTGGGCGCTTCCTGCGAGGGAGGGTCTGGCCAGCCAGGGTGGGTCTGGCACTGCTCGGCCACTGCGCCGACCACCTTTCGAACGGAACTCTAAGAACCCAGCGAGAACTGGATAAACAAACAAGAAAAAGGCGGCGCGTGGCACGCCCGCCCCCCCCCCCCGCCTCCCCGTCGGGGACTGGAAACCCGCCTCTTGGATCGCGATTGGAACGTTATTCGGCAATATATGAGGGCGTCTTGCAGCCCTCCTGAGCCTCTCTCTGGGCTCTCTTGGTCGATCCTGGAGCCATCTCGAGGCTTCAGAAACTCCCCAAAAGTGAACAGGCGGTGATAAGGCAGCAATTGTTGATGATCAAAATACATGTGTTTGAGTGATGCTGGCCTCTTGGGGGCGCCCTTGCCAGGCTGCGTGCACACTCGGTTCTAGTTTGCGGCTGGATTGAAGCCTCTTTGAGGTATGTTGCTGGAAGCCATATGATGCCATATTGGGCTCGCTTGTGCCATCCTGTTGGCCATACTGAGCTACAATGGGCCATACTGGAGCCGTGCTGGGCCATGCTTGGACGCTGCAGTAAACCGCCCCCCCCTCCCTTCCCTCCCCCGTCCAGGCCTAAGCGAGGGGGTAAGGGGCAGGTAGGGGTAGGAGACCTTTCCCCAAAGGGGAAGACTGGAGTTGGAACAAAAATATCGCTCTAAACCATATGCGCTCAAAGGGCTGGTGGGATTCGCGTGAGCGGAAACTCCTCGCCCCGATCACACAATCACAATTCGACATCAAATTGACCAGAGGAGTTCGAGGTCACGTGCGAGAGCGGCTACACCGTGGACGCCGACCACATGGGCTCCAACCACTTCATCGTGGGATGCAATGCGGAGGGCGATTTCACGAACGAGCTGAAGTGTCTGCCCGTTAGCTGCGGCGTGCCCCAGGAGACTGACACCGAGATCAGTTCAGACCCTGAAAAGTTTTACGGGGAGCTCGCGCACTGGGAGTGCAAGGACGGCTACTCCACCAGCGGCCTGCCGTTCGGCCTCCGCGGCGCACCTCCGCTGACCACCTTGTCGAGGCAGTGCGGGCCCAGCGGGCTCTTCGGCATCGCCTCGCCCGGCGAGTGCGTGGACATCGACTATTGCAGCACCAACCCGTGCACCCACAATGGGGTCACCGGAGAAGAAGAAGAAGAAGAAGAAGAAGAAGAAGAGAAGGAGGAGGAGGAGGAAAAACACGTGTCATAAGCAAAAAGCCTTCTGAGCTCCTCGCCAGCTTCTTGGATCGGCGCTGGGCCTCCCTGGCGGCGCCTCCAGCGCCGCCCCTGGCGCGTCCCGCGCGCCGGGGAGGGGTGTCCAGTGTCCAGCGCCGATCCGAGCACTCCGCGCGGACCTCTGACAGTTTCTGCTTGCGGCCGGGAACTTCGGGATGGCGTATCGCTCCGCCGGTTTGGGCCCACCGCGCCTTTGTCAGGAGGGGAAAAAAACACACACACACACACACACACACACACACACACAGACACAAGACACAAGTAATCGTCGACTCCCCGGAAAAGATGGGAGAATAGGGGAAGCGGGGCGGAAGACGAAAACCCAGAAGATATGAGAACATATAGGGGATCTGTTGATTTGTGTGTGTATTTCTTCGTGTGTCCCAGGGCCCCATTCACTTTGGTGCGACAACCGATGCGGCTCCCCGGTCCCGAGGCGCCCACGTCCGGGGGCTGCGGGGCCCGGACCGCAGAGCGGAGCGCGGCACGCCTGTCCGCCACACCGCAGGGCGCAGCGCGCCGCCGGGGCCGCCGGGGGTCGGTGGGCTGTGCAGAGGGTCCCGGCCGTAGGCAGGCCAGGCACAGCCGGGGGAGCTGTGGTCCTTGCCCCCCGGGGGGGGCCCATCGCTTTCGACACCCCTCGAGAGAGATCATCGATGCGACGGGTTCCCCCCGGGGGGGGCCGCGAGGGGCGGTGGCTGTGCAGAGGGTCCTGGCCGTAGGCAGGCCAGGCACAGCCGGGGGAGCTGTGGTCCTGACCTTTGTGGGCCCTGGAAACGGCAGGGCCGTTTTTTCTACCGTTTCCCAAAAAAATGTCCCTTTAGAAAAAACGGCAACCGGAAACGGCAACAAAGCGGCTCCAGGATTGGAACCGGAGCCGGAACCGGTCAAAAAGCGGCGACGGAACCGGTAAAAAAACGGCGTCGGAACTGGCAAAAAAACGGCAGAACGGAACCGGTAAAAAAACGGCCATGTCGTTTCCAGGGCCCGCTAAGGTCCTTACCCCCCTGGGGGTCCCATCGCTTTCGACACCCCTCGGGAGAGATCATCGATGCGACGGGTTCCCCCCGGGGGAGGTAAGGACCACAGCTCCCCCAGTCATGGCTGGTCGGCGCAGACCTTCTGAGCTCCTCTCCGAGAGCTTGGATCGGCGCCGCCCCTGGCGTGCTCCTCGCTCCAGGGAGTGGTGTCCAGCGCCGATGCAAGAAGCTCGCGTGGAGCTCCGAAGGTTGCTGTTTCTGCCGAGCTATCCACGACCACGACGCACGACTACGACCGCGACGACGATGATGGCGGAGGCGGAGACGAAGGCTGCGACGACGACGACGACAACGAAGACGGCGAAGACGACGACGACGCGGCCGATGACGACGAAGACGACGACGATGACGACCACGACCATATGTTCTTCCTCCAGGTGTGCACAGACCTGGGCGAGGGGCTGCACTCGCCGGGCTACGAGTGCGAGTGCGGCGAGGGATACGAGGCCGCCACCGACGCCGCTGGGGGGCCGACCTGCACGGAGGACGACTGCGCGGGCGACCCTTGCGGCGCCGGGACGTGCACCGACCTCTCCAAACAGGTCATCGAGAATCAAAGAACCCCTGGCCCTGATAACACAGTGAAGACGTAGCCTGCTTTCGGTCCCCGTCTCTGCACAAGGCATACTCAGTCTGGGTGGCTTGGTTCTGCTGCATCTACTGATAAGGGCCCCTATCCCTAATGCGCCCTGGGCCTCTTAACTCTTAACGTGGGTCCGCTGCCAAATGGTTATCGACTACACGTAAGAGTGACCCTTCGCCAGAGTGGCCTTTGGTGCGGGCTCATCGGGCTCCCCCCGATCGCCGAGCGCGATGCGATATGAGCGGCCCGCGCCCTTGAGTTTGGCTCCCCTGCGCCCCCACAAGCTGCGCACCAGAGGTCACTCTTGCCCAGGGTCTAATGATGATGATGATGATGATGCTGATGCTGATGCTGATGCTGATGATGATGATGATAATTATGATGATGATGATGATGATGATGATGATGATGATGATGATGATGATGATGATGATGATGATGATGATGATGATGATGATGATGATGATGATGTTAGAGGTTGGAGGTCCCTTGACTGCCAGTCAGCAGGGGGGCGACGACGGGACCTACTCCTGCACGTGCGACTTCGGTTACGAGCTGACCGAGCCCGTGGTGGGCCGGCCGACGTGCACGCACCTGGTCTGCGGCACGCTGGCCGTGGACAGCCCGTCGAACGTGATGATGGACCTCATCAAGGGGATTCCGCAGGTCCTCCTCCTCCTCCTTCCCCCCCCCTCCTCCTCCACCCCCTCCTCCTCCTCGTCCTCCTCCTCCTCATCCTCCTCCTCCTCCGTAGCCATTTTGGCTCAAGGCTATGAACCGTCCCGACGACCGCGAGTCTTTCGGGGCGACCTCAGAGCGCGAGGGAGGTTCCGCTTTGAGGCCACTCTCCAGTTCAGTTCTCTGCTGCCTCTGATCCGAGGTCACACCGCTACTATTCACTGCCTTCACCGCGGGAGTTGGGCACCCGCTTAGTATGCGCCCCTGATGCCAGATCGTGAGAAGAACGATAAGAAATCCGATAAGAAGGAAAAGAAATATGGCACGGTCAAGAAGGGTGGCAAGAGCGAGGGCACCCCTGCCAGGCGTCGCCAAGGTGCTGCTCGCTCCCCTTCTGCTGATGCTGGCGGCAGGCTGTCTCCTATTTCTGCGGCTTCGTCTCCGCCTCGCACACCGCGTACCCCTCGTGCTGTATCGGGTCGCGGTCGGAGAGAGGACACGATTCTTACACCTGGACAGAGATCGCGCAGCAGCCGAGGAGGAGTACCTTCTCCTGGTCCAGTGCCTCGTGGAGACGCACGAGCACAGGCTGCTGCTGCCACCCTTCAGGAGACGGAGCTTCTGGAGTCACTGGATGCTGCCCCTACCTTCCCCTCGCAAGAGTTTAGCCGTGGTCTCATCGGAGCTTCCTCCGCGAGTGCTGGACCCCAGTCATAGCCTGCTCCACCATCTATCCATCACCTCGCGGGGCGCTGGCGTGGCATGGCAGGTGGCGTGGGTGACGGCGCAGGTGCAGCGGCTGCCGCTGCGCTGCCAGCTGCTGGAGGCCCTATCCTGGACCCGTGGGCGCAGGCGAATGCACACGGTATCGCTGAGCAGGTCCAGACTGAGATCGCCGCCAGCATCCAGAGGATTGCTCATGAGGAGCTGGACAAGATCATCGATGCCAAGATGCCTGGGATCGTCGCTGGCGCCATTCAGCCTCTGTTCAAGAAGTTCGAGGAGCAGGTGCAATCGCAGCTGTCGGCGCACGCTCGGAGGATCGGCGCGGCCGAGTCAGACATCTCAGAGCTTCGTCGAGTGCAGGCCGAGTATGAAGCGAGGTTCAAGGCGCTGGAGCAGGAGCTGGACCTCTCGAGACAGAGGGTACACGTGCCTATCGCTCGCACTGGCGAATGGGAGCGCGCTGTGGACAGGACCATATTGCTGGTGCGTGCCCGCTCCGGCGTTGGATACGAGGCCGTTGCTGCTAGTTTGCAGTCGTGGCTCCAGGATGCATCCTACACGCTCGGCCAGGAGGTCAAGTTGGAGGGCGAGCAGTTGGCGCGATCCTTTATCCTCAAGTTCCAAGGTGATGCTGCTGAGCGCAGGGCAGGTACGGCATTGGCGGCCATTCGTACTCCAGCTGGACAGTGGCGATCTTTCGTGGAGAACGACCCCAGCGGTCGCCCTGTGGCGCTCTCGGTCTCAGTCGACAAGAACCGTAAGGACATCTCGCGCGAGATCACCTGCAAGAAGATCAAGAATGCCTTCGCTGCCAGATTCGGTCGCCCAGTTTATGTTGACCGTGAGGCAAGAGTGCTCTCGATGGGATAGGGGCGCTTGCTCAAGGTCGAGGTTCACCCGACAGAGAAGCCGCCCTTCAAGTGGAACTTGGACGCGCTCGCCAACTTACACGTGCAGAGACGGGAGCTGGAGGACCTCGCCATCGAGTCGCTGGGCATACGTGAAGTTCAGCGGAGTGGGTGACAAGATCTTCGAGGGCGTGGACTCGCTCTCGTTCTGCACGTGGAATGCACGTGCCCTTACACATTACAGATCACTGATCATGAACTACAAGCTCAATGAATTGCAGAAGTTGATGAAGTTATCATCGGTCGTTGCTCTTCAAGAAACGCACTGTTCAGGCCCTGACGTGGAAGCACTTCTGCGTCGCTTGTCGAAGTCGCACTACTTCTTTGACTACCCCCCTTGCCCCGCGGAATGGTGGCGTGATCACGATCGTCCCGCGGAGCTCTCTCATCGTTGACGTCAGTCCCAAAGTTTTTGTTGATGGGCGGGTATCGCTGGTGACTGTCAGTGCTGCTGCTCATACATGGCACCACTGGAATGATCACAATCACGGCATCACCACGGAGGAGGCGAAAGCCATCTGTGACGAAGCCCACAGGCAAATTTCTCGTGCGCTGGCTGATCCCTACCGTCTCTCTGCATGTGTCACGGGCGACTTCAACATCTCCGACGGTGACATCGAAGGGCCTGTTTCGGGCACGCTCGCTCCTGCCTCGTCTCGGGGGTTTGAGGTTGGTTCATCGCAGGCTCAGCGTCGGCACGTGGCAGCTTGGCGAAGAGTTTGGAAGCGGATGACTGAGTATGATGCTGCCAGACCGACGCACTGGCACCGATCCATTCAGATTCCATCCCGCATTGACCGCATCTTCCTTTCTGTGCCGACATGGATTGCGATTCGTTTCTGGCAGTCTGTCTCGCTGGCAGCTGAACCCGAAGAACTGAAGCGTCGTGAAGTCAGTGATCATTCACCGCTGTCCTTGTGCTGGTCCTCTCGTTCTGGCGGTGAACGTGCAAGGGTGAAGCCGATTGCTGGCTTCATCACTCGCGACCCCGTCTATGCCGAGATGGTGCAGGCCTTCGAGAAGGCAGCCAAGTTGGGCGAGTACGACTGGCCTGCTGACACTCTCACTAGACTAGCAGTACGTGCGCGACGGGCTGCTGGGCGCGCTGCTCGAGATTCGCTCTTGGCCCGTGTCCGTCCTGGGCCTCAGGGGAGAGCGATGATTTGGCGATCTGCGCCACGGGCGGTCAGCAGGCAAGATGGGCATGCTGCTCTGGCTCTTCTGCTTCGTCATCCTGGGCTTCGAGTGCACCTTCAAGTCGACGAAGGCAGTGTTCTGGCCCTTCAGAGTGGGGCCTTTGCCATTGCCTTCAATGAGGCCCAGCTGGCCTCTGCGAGGGCAGAGGTCTCCCGCGCCCAAATGTCTCAGGGCGCGCAGGCTGCTCGAGGGCTTTCCCCCGCCTCCTCCTCTAAGCGTCTCATCGCCCTGCACAGGAGGGCTAGGCTTTGGGATCCCACGGGCCGCAGGCGTGTCTTGGGAGCCGTCTCGGGCCCTCTCGGAGCGTCGTCGTCTCCAGAGGCCAAGGCCAGGAATCTGTCTGCCTTCTGGGTGCCTGTTTTTTCAGACCCCGTCGGCCCCTGCTGCAGGCGCCTCACGGTATGCTGCGCGGTTTACCTCTCCGCTCAATTTCAAAGATGTGCCCCCGCCCAATAGCCACTTGGTGCGGAAAATCCTGCGGCGAGTGTGCGATTCGGCCCCTGGGCCCGATGGTCTCGCCTACAGCACCTGGGCGGTTGGACGGGGCCCCATGGGTGGTCATGGAAGCCTTCTGGGCACTCGCGGCTGGGCAGGCTCTTCCGCTGGCTTTCTTCGAGTCCCTCGCGGCCTTCCTGGCCAAACGAGACGAGCCAGAGGATGCCGAGGCAGTTACTCTCACCAGGCCCGCGGATGAAACCAGGCCTCTATCTTTGAAGAACACACTGAATAAATGTGCAGCTGCTGCTATCAACTGGCCTCTCACTTCGATTGTGCAAAAGGTCAGCCCACGCATGCAGAATGGCTTTATAAGGGGGAGGTCCATTTTGAAGAACGTGTTTGAGTTGGGCGCGTATGCTCGGATTGGTTCTGTCATGAAGGACTCCCCCCAGCGTGGAAATGCCTCTGAGGATTGGCTCCCCCTCCGGATCTCTTTCGATTACGCTCAGGCCTTGCCCAGCGTCTCCCAGTCTTGGCTCCTCGCGACCTTGCAGTCTCTCCAGCTCCCTCCTGGTCTCACCATAGCCATCCAATGCCTGTGCCATCTGAATCTGTGCGTCTTCCATGAGGGTGGTGTTCATCTTCCACTCTTTTTCGTACTCGCTGGAGTCTTGCAGGGCTGCCCTCTCAGTGGTTCCCTCTTTGTGCTCGCCTCGAACCCATTCCTGTGGGACATGGAGCGCACGACTGAGGGTACGAAGCATGCGTTCTCGCGCGCGTGTGCTGATGATGTTGGTTCGGTTGTATTCACTGCCGCAGGCCTCCGTCGTCTGGCGCGTATCTTTTCGCTTGCCTCCCGCCTCGCCTCTCTTGTCCTCAAAGTCGCCAAATGTACGGTTGTGCCACTGTTCGGGCCATTTGATGCCAGTGTCGAGCGACGTGCGCGGGCATTCATCGCGCGTGCCGTGCCTGAGTGGAGTGAGTTTTCGATTGTTCCGTGCTTGGAGTACCTAGGCACGCTAATGGGCCCCTCTGTGACACTTAACGATCAGTGGGAAGCGCCGTGGGCGAAACTTCGTGCGCATGTGCGTGCTGCTAGTGACTCCTCGGCTGATCTCAGCACAAACGTCTTTTACTTTAAGTCTCGTGCTCTTCCTGTTCTCGCATATAAGGCGCAGCTCTTTCCTCTCCCTCGATCGCTGGCTATCGAGGAAAGGCATCGTTTTGCATCGCTATGGAGGACGGCCAGCTCGATTCTTACTTGGGACGGGTGGGTGAGCTTGGGGAGGTGGGGCGGGCCTGACTTTCCGTCGAGCTGGGTCCTCGGCTGCGCATCGCTGATGAGAGCGGCACTAGTATCGGTCCCGTCGTGGCATATTCAGCTCTCCCAGCTGCAGCATGCTGTTCTTGAGTTTGGATCCATGACGTGGCGCTTCTCCCCTTCTCTCGCTCCCCCATTTTGGAAGTATCCTGCCATTGTCTATACTCTCAGCCAGGCCGCTGCAGGTTTCCCTCAGGAGCCGCGTCTGGCCAGAGCAGGTGCGGAATGCTGCTGCCTCTTGTTCGAACAAGGCTCGACACCCGACGGTGAGCAGATCATCATCGCAGGCGCGCGCTTCCGATGGCAGGCGCGCTTCTCAGCCATATTCCAGGAGCATCTTTTCAGTACCGCCATTGCCCCGATGTTCGACCGTCGCGTCTCGAAATGGTTTCTTCCGAGGGGTGGAGTGGGCCTCGTGGACGGGGGTGATTCGAGAGGGACTGAAGGCGCTTCCTCTGGCCTGGGCCTCGGCGTGTCTAAAGAGCTGGCTAGGCGGTTGGACGACCTCGAGGAGAATGCAGCGCTCTGAGCGCGGGTGTATTTCCGGCTGTGTTGCGGATGATTCCGTGTCGCACTACCTGTTTGGGTGTAGGCCTCTGGAGGCTCTTGTCCGTACCGTGCTTTCGAGGGACGTCCCCGCTGATACGCTCGTCCGCATTGGGTTATTCCCAGTCGAGTTCGCACCAGGCCCGAGCGAGGACGCTACTGCATGCAGATACAAGTTTAGTTTTGTTGTTGCCTTCTTCTACGCGCACCGCCTTGCTTCTCAGTTTGGCAGCGCTCGAGTGCGAGCCTCGACGATTCGTGCTGCGATTCGGTTGCCCCTCCAGGGACCCACTGTACGTTTTTGGGCCCAGAGGTGAGGCGTAGGCACTCGTGGATGAACCCCTTTGGGCACGCTCGACCTCCTCCTCCTCCTCCTCCTCCTCCTCCTCCTCCTCCTCCTCCTCCTCCTCCTCCTCCTCCTATGCCTCCTCCTCCTCCTCCTCCTCCTCCTCCTCCTCCTCCTCCTCTTCCTCTGCACCGCAGGTCTCAGTCTCAACCTGGCTGTCAGACGCCACAGAGTTGGACATGTACACGCAGACGCCCATCCTGAAGGCGTTTGACGTGGCCACTTACACTTGCCAGCACGGCTACTCCGCTGACGGCTCAAATAATCCGGATGCAGCTACCATATCGATCACGTGCAACGAGCTGGGCATCTGGAGTCGCAGCATGGACCATACTTTCAAGTGCGTGCGGAAGATGTGCGACAACCTTGCGACGGGTAGTCTCGCACATTCCGAGCTTATCAACGAGAAGGTCCCTTGGTTGTACGGGGATGTGGCAGAGTTCCGGTGCGACACTGGGCACACGATTACTGGAGAGGTGGGCGCAGCCGCCACTTTCCAAATCGAGTGCGGTGCCGATGGCTTTTCGAGCTCTCGCGTCCAGGGCTGCCAGCCGGTGGGTTGCTTAGTACCAACACACCCGTTGGCCAGCCCGACGCACACTGGAACCATTCTCTACGGCCAGGCGATCACCTACACGTGCGATTCTGGCGCGGGTGTCCAAGGATCGTCGAGCCTCACGTCGTATTCTGGGCAGTGCGAGGCCGACGGCACAATCTGGGCCGGGACCGATCGGTGCCAGCTCGTCAGCTGCGGTGTGGCCACCGTCCCGAACAACGCCGCGCTGAAGGTGGTGTCGGCCACCTATGCCGAGAAGGGGAGCGGCGAGTGCGACACGGAGATGGTGCTCTACTCGGGCAGGGCGGCGGACCAGGTGGAGTGCGAGGTGCGGTGCTCTCAGAGCGCCCTCTGCGCCTTCTACACGTACTCCTCCACGTGGCCCAACTGCATACTGGCCTCCGAGTGCGACTCGCTCGCGGGGTCGACTGGCCAGACGTGGACGAAGCAGCCGCAGGAGTTCTACACGCTGGATGCGGGCTCCTGTTGCTGCCCTGCCGACGAGCGCATCGGTACGGAGGAGGAGTGCGCAGAGGCCGTGGCCGCCATAGGCTTCTCGGGCCTGGGCGCGGAGCTCAACACCACCCACAATCCCTTATACCCGGGCGGCTGCAGCTACCATGCGAAGACCTTGGTGGGGCACTTCAACAGCCAGCTCACGGGCATTGGCGCGATGGACCAGGTCCAGGTGTGCAAGCGTCCTGTGTGCGCCGACGCCCACCTCTCCATGGGCGACGCCAGCATCGATGGCGACTTGGCGAACCTGGGCAACTACAGGGGGAGCGAGTCCCTGGCCGCCGAGATCCGCTACACGAACGTGGGGCAGTTCCTCGGCACCAACCTCGACGTCGTGCTGACCACGCCGACGTGGGCCATGCCGGCCCGTGAAGACCCCGACGAGCCTCCCTTCTACAAGTACGTGTTCGGCCGCCTGCCGGCCGCCCACGGGCTGGAGTACGAGATCACTTTTGAGTTCCAGGATCACATCACCCACGAGCCCGTCGTGCTCAGCGAGTTCGACGTCACGTTCTTCGACCTCGACGGCGACGACTACGGCATGGAGACGCTGAAGACTTCTGGCTACACGGAGATGCGGAAGGCTTACGCCGATCTGCCGACCCCTGAGACTCTGGGTTTGCTGGCGCCGACGGCTCACGTTATGTACATCAGCCGATTCTGCAAGTTCACGTCCAGGGGAGGCGGGGAGAAGGAGGTGGAGGAAAAGCAAGAAGAGGAGTGAACGATCTTGGGGGGGAGTAGGCAAGAGGGGATGAGGATAACATAGGAGATGACTCGAAAGAGGAAGACAGAGGAGGAGGAGGAGGAGGAGGAGGAGGAGGAGGAGGAGGAGGAGGAGGAGGAGGAGGAGGAGGAGGGTGAGGAGGAGGAACAGGAGCAGGAGGAGGAGGAGGAGGTAGAGGGGGAGGGGGAGGGGGAGGGGGAAGCGGAGCAGGACGAGGGCGAGAAGGGGGGACGAGGATCGCTCGGACCAACCAGCTGGAGGAAGGTGAGGAGACGGAGGACGGAGAGGAGGACCAACGGGTAGGAGGGGGCTCGGATGAGAGCGAGGAGAAGGGCACAGACCGACATATTCTGTGGGGGGCAAGATGAGTAATACGAGGAAGACGAGGAAGAAGACCCAGGAGTCGGAGCGAGGTGGATGAGCAGCAGCATGACAAAGAGGAGCGAGAGGATCGCGACGGAGGATCGCGGCATTGACGCGGGACTGTGGCGTCAGGAGCGCGGGTCAGTCGTCTCGATCGAAGGGTCGTCGCGTCGCGCTTGCGGATTTAGGCCGTCGGGTTGAGAATAAGATGCGGGCAGCTACATGCCAGGAATGGTGATCTTCTTTCGCCATGATGGAAAGGGTCGGCAATGCGCAGAGGAAGGTAGAGGGATGGGGGAAGGCTTCTTAGAAGCGCCCTGCCTCTGAGAAGGCTCGGTTCCTATCTATAGACGGAAGGCCGGCGCCTTCTAAGAAGCAGCCTCCTTCTGAGAAGCCTTCCCCCTTCCCCCTACCCCCTTGCACGCGCCACCAAGGAAAAGCGGTCCTGAGGGAAACAGGTCGTAGGTCCCGAGGCCTTCCCCAGGACCAGCTCCTCGTCCCGAGACGATCCTCTTTGACGGCCCTTCGGGCCTGCGGAGTGCTCCGGTGGGCCGAAGAAAGGTGATGAAACTTGTCCCGGGCCCCTGTCTCCCAGCTGCCCGCGTCCTCCACGCTGGTACCTAGCTGGCGGTTGCAGGCCGCCGGGTTGGGAGGGCGCGGGAGGTCACGAGAGCAGACTCGAGGGGCATTGGAGGAGAGTGGGGATTGTCGGCCGCGGTAGGGGGTTAGATGGAGTTCTGGGGAAGTTGTGGGCACGTAGATTAGGGGTATGGGCGTGCGTGTGCAAGGCTGGACATGGATGGGCACGCGCAGGCAAGGATGGGCAGGGATGGGTATGCGTGGGCAGGCAGGGAGGGACAGGGATAGGTATGCGTTGGCAGCGACTTCTCTCCTGTCCCATGTTGCGTCGAAAAATCTCGATGCGGCCGTCTGGGCCTTCCTGGAGCTGCTACAACGCAGCTTTCTGTGCAACCGCAGGCCAGATACGTTTTACAACAGTATCAGACGCCAGTTGGTTGTTCCTCCTTCTTTGCCCCCCCGCTCTTCCTGCCTTCCTGGGTGACCCTGGAAAGGCTAGTCTTGAGTAACTTTCAGGATTTATTTCATTGTTCGCCGACTCTTGCTCTGTGACGTCTGGGCGGAGAAAAGAATGCCCTGCAGATGATTAGTACAATAGTGTGCAGACGTACGGTACTCGCACTCTGTACACTGGTGTGGCCCAGTGTCGTCACCCAGAGGCTGCGCAGAGCTTAGTGTTGTGGACTGAGAAAGTAGTGCGCGTTGGCAGGGATGCGTACGCGTGGGCAGGTGTGGGTATGGCCGGACAGGGGCGAGGAGGGAAGGGTATGCGTGGGCAGGGATGGGCATGGATGGGTGCGCCTAGGCAAAGATGGGCGAGGATGGGCAGGGATGGTATGCGTGGGCAGGCAGGGAGCGATAGGACATGTACGGATTGGTAGGGGGAATGGGCTTGGACGGGTATGCACGGGCAGTGGCGGGCAGGGATGGGTACGCTTGGCAGGGATGGGCAGGGATTTGTGTGCAAGGACAGGACTATGCAGGGGTAGGTATGCTCGAGCGGGGGGGGCGCATGGTTATGCGGTCGCGCGGATGGGAGCGCGTGGGCAGGCAAGACATACTTTCTCGGCGATGACCAATCCAGAAAGGGATCGGTTGTTGCCGAGCCGAAAATTTGTCAGAACCAACGCGACCAGAGGAGATCCCCAAGATGATGTTGTGTCATCGTCTGGAACGCGTGCATTTCGTTTTGCTTCGTGTGAAGGCCGCTGGTTTTGCAACCGACTACCTGCAGCAAGGCACTTCGTTATGTAAAGAAGTGGCACCACGTCGGTTAGCTTCCTTTTCCTGGCGCAGGGAGGTCGAGGAGGGCCAAAACAATAAGATGCAGGCTGATGACCGTTTGAAGCTTGACCCTATGTAATAGTTGCCGGCCCACAAGCGTACACATGGGCACGGGTGGGTATGCGTGGGCATGGATGGGCAGAGACGGGCGTGTGTCGGCAATGATTGGCAAGGGTCAGTATGCGTGAGCAGGAATGGGCAGGGACGGGCGTATGCGGACAGGGATGTAAATTCTTGGGCAGGGATCGGCCGGGATAAGTACGCCTGGTCAGGGTTTGGCAAGGATGGGTATGCGTGGGCATGGATGGAAATGCGTGGGCAGCCGCGGGCAGGGATCGGCCTGGATGGGTACGCATGGCCAGGGATTCGCAGGGATGGTATGCATGTGCAGGGATAGGTTGGCACGGGCAGTGATGGGCACGCGTGGTCAAGGAGGTGTAGGGATGGGCATCGCGTGTGTGTGTGTGTGTGTGCGTGTGTGTGTGTGTGTATGTGTGCGTGCGTGCGTGCGTGCGTGCGTGCGTGCGTGTGTGTGCGAGAGAGAGTGGGTTGGGATGGGCGTGCGTAGGCAAGGATGGACAGGGATGGGTATGCGTTGGCAGGGATTGACAGGGATAGTTAAGCACTCACTGATAGGAATGTCTATGCGCGGATCGGAACGAGCAAGGACGGGTATGCGTGGGCGGGCATAGTCGATCGTCGGGACGGTGACGGGACATTCAAACATGGAGTTGTTCTGGGCGTGCCGACACGTTTCCAGGACCGTTGCGGCCAGAAGTTGTCCGAACGTGGAAGTCTTGCCACCGTCCATAACGTATGCATGTGTTCTGCTGCGTATGGGCAGTCGCTGACCGTGCAACCGTATTCTTGCAGCGAGGCAGGTCAATCCGTAAATACGCGACGCTACGCCGGCCAGTATCAATCTCTTGGTGGAGGGGGGCGAGAAGGACGCGAAGAAAGAGGAGCGAACAGGTAGCAGGATCAAGATCGTTCGTCGCGTGGCCCGCTGCTGCAGATCTACAGACGTACACGTGGGCAGAGACGGGCAGGCGTGGGCAGGGCTGGGCAGAAACGGGTGTGCGTGGGCAGGGGGGGCCACGCATGGGTGTAGGCGGGGGTGGGTGTGCGCAGGTGGGTGTTTTGAGGGATTCGTGTGCGTGTACAGAGAGGGTGTGCGTGGACACGGGTGGTGAGGGATGGGTGCGCGTGGGCTTGGCTTTTCACGCATTTACCGTAATCGTTGGTACTGGGAGCCTCGGCGCTAGAAGCGTTGTACGTCATCGTTTCTACTAGGAGCAGTGGCATTCAGAGCATGTGACGTAATCGGGAACTCGTGGGCGCCTTGGCGTGAACAGTTTGTTTGGTCACCGCTTGCTCTTGGGAGCTTTGGCGTGAAACGCTGTCCTAGTCATCTGGAGCCTCTTGGGGCCCTCTTAAAAAGGCTTGAGCCGTATTGGGGTCCTTTTCGGCCGTCTTGGGACCCTTCGTGACGTTTCCTGGGCGCTCTCGGGCACTTCCTGGGGCACCTTTGGGCCGTCAATGGAGGCATATTGGACCCTGCGCGGCCGTCTTTGGGCCCTGTTGGGGGGGCTCTGGACCATCTTGAAACGATCAGGGAGGCCTCTTGGCCCGTCTTGCATTGTCGGAAGACCGAGAAGGCGGGAACGCAAGAGGCTTTCAACCACCTATATGACATTGGCGAATCTTGTATCTTGGGGCCCTCTTGAGGCTCTTGGAGCCTTCTTCGAGCATGTTGGTGGCCTCGTGGGCCGTTTGGAGCGCTCTTGGGCCGTCTCGGGGCCTTCTGGACGGCCTGGCGGGTCTCTTAGGCCATCTTGGTGGAATATTGGACGCCCGCTTGCTGCTATCTTGAAGCTTCTGGTCCCCCCCACCCCTTCCCAGCCCCCACCAAGCGGATCAGCTTCGCGATCTCTTGTCATGTGGCTCGTGGTGATCATGGCACGCGCGCGAGCCAACAGGGACAGCATCGAAACTTGTGGACTCTGCTACGGGAGAACATACACTCCCCAGTCCAGTCTCCCAGCGCCCGGGTGAATTCATCCACTGGTCGTCTGGGGCCCGCTCTCCCCGCTCGCCTCAGACGCGCAATTCTGGACCTGGTGGAGGACATCGGGAGGGGCGGAAGACTTGGACCGTCACGCCCCAGGGAGGCCCCGAAGGGGCCGGTGGATCTTTCAGTTCCAGAACTCCGAGGTCCAGCTCACAGAGATGAGGGACGGCAGCCTACTGGCCGAGGGCACGGTGAAGAACGCGGGCGACGGGACGCCGGTAGCAGACGACTCGCTGACAGAGAAGCAGGCGCAGAAGAGCATCGCCTTCCGTTACAAGGACACGTCTTCGTTCAAGATCACGATGGGCATGACTGGGGGCACGGGCGCAGCCTCCGAGTGGTGCCGCTACTTCATCTGGACCTTCGAGTCAGCGATGGTCACGCGCCCGCCCTGTGCGGAGTACACCCCGCCGCCTGCGCCGCTGGTGCCGGTGCCAGCTGGCTACTCGTCCACGTTTGGCAGCGCCCCGCTGAGGGTGGTGTGCGACGAGGGCACCTTCGTCGGCGGAGAAGTCGGCGGCGCGACCTACTACACGATGTCTTGTGGCTCCGACGGCAATTTTTTCGCGTCATCCCAGCAGGTCTGCGAGGAGATACTCTACTCGGTGGCCGGCCAGGGCACCGACGCCCAGGACGAGGACGTCAAGCTCGCCGGCGCGGTCCTCAAGTGGTCGCGCGATGGGGCCGTTGTAGCCACGACGACGGTGGACCAGTCTGGGGAGTATTCTGCCCTGCTGGGGCCGGGCACCTACACCGTGGTCGCGGAGCTCGACGGGTACATCACGATGACGAAAGAGGTCGCCGTCTTGGGCGAGATCTCCGTGGGCAGCATCGGTGATTTTGCACTGTCCAAGATATTGGCTCTCGGCGAGTGGCGGGTGGTGCTGGAGTGGGGCGATCGGCCTTCCGACCTGGACTCGTGGACCTACTTCGGCACAGATCACTCGAAGAATGTGAAGTGGTACGGAAAGTCTGCCAGTGACCCTGTGTCTGGCATCGAAGTCACGCTGGATCGTGACGATGTCACTGCCATCGGCCCCGAGACCACCACGATCAAGAACGCGGACAAGTGCGTGGGAGAGGACGCGTGTCTGATTTGGTTCGAGGTCAACAACTACGCATACTGGGATTCCACGACAATGGACCAGGCCCAGGGCGTCGTCACGGTGTACCATGGTGACAACACGGCGGCTGTATACAAGATCCCGGAGTGCATTGGATCAGCCACTCTATGGTACACCGCCCTCACCATCGACATCCGTCAGGGACACAGCGAGGTGTACGAAGGCTTCCGGCAGACACCCCCGTCGCTCGTGGCATCAACCTCGACATGGGCCACCAACAACGGGTTGCCCGGGAACTCGGTGTACTATGCCTCCGAGAACTCTTGGCTCAAGTTGGATTCTTCCCGCGTCCTCTTCGCTGCAAGGACCAACGATGGGTCGCACAGACGGCGCTACGTTTCAAGGGCCGTCTACCACGAGATTTCCAACGGCCAGGATTGTGATGGCTGCTGCCAAGAGGTCCCCATCGACCTCAGCTTGGAGGGCTCTTGGGGGACATGCCCGAGCGGGTTCTACATGAGCGGGCTGTACAGGCAGGAGCGGGGTAGGCCCGACATGTATGTGGCCTTGTATTGCTGCAGGCAGAAGCAGATGCCAGAAGCTCACGGCTCGTGCGTCGAGACGGAGTGGGTCATTAGCAACAGCCAGAGCATGGTGACCTGTCCCACGCTGGAGAGTGGCGAGCTCACGGCCATGGTCGGCTGGTACCGCGGCACCTCCGAGGACGTACTGGAGTCCATCACGAAGGTCAGGTGCTGCGCCTTCCCGGAGATGCCGCTCGAGCTGGCCGCCGACATGCCCGGCACCTGCGAGAACCCGGCAACCTGAGGCGCTTGGCCGCGGCTCCAGTGGCGCTGGCGCTCTTAGAGTCATTCGCGAGGAGAGGGGATGGGGGACGGCGGGGGGTGACGAGGAGGAGAAGGAGGAGGAGGAGGAGAAGGAGGAGGAGGGAAGGAAGGGAAGGGACAGCGGGCAGGATGGGTGGATGGGAGGGGATGGGGAAGGAGGGGAAGGAAGGGAGGAGGCGGAGCAGGCGGAGGGATAGGGGAGGAGCAGGGAGGGGAGGCCTGAAGAGCAACTTCATGCTGGGCGGGCGCTCGAGTAAGACGTGGCGGAGGAGGCGCGAGGGTGACGATGACAACGGCGACGACGGCAATGGTGGCAATGATGACACAGACGATGGCGGTGGCGACGGTAGGATCTTGTAGAGCTTGTCAAGAGATCCTGGGAGCACTGCCAGTGCTCTTGCAGGTCACGAGCATGGCACTACCCGCCACCTCTCTGCGTAGCGAGCCCTCAGCCTGGGGCATGGGCCCCGGCGCCGACGGCGAGCTCGCGAGCGCGCCCACCTCTCCCCGGCCTCGGCGACCTCGGCCTGCAGCGGAGAGGCGCTCGAGTCCACCAGGGACGCGGACCACACTCGTGAACGTTGGCCGCCGCCAGGGCTTCCAGGAGCAGACGTCTGCTCCTCATCTCCGCCCTCCTCGGTGGCCGCGCCCGCCGTTGGCGCCGCCTCCTGCGGCGCCCTCCACGGCGGCGGCCGCCGCGGCCGCCGCGGGCGTCGCGCCACCCGCGCCGTGGGCCGGGGCGCTTCTGTCGGCGCCGGCCCCGCTGCCGGCGGCGGCGGGCGGAGCCCGTGCCAGGTGCGGGCGACGGCCGTCGCGGCAGCGGACTGCTTGGCGCCCGCCGGGGGCGCACCCCCACCTCCTCCTCCTCCTCCTCCTCCTCCTCCTCCTCCTCCTCCTCCTCCTCCTCCTCCTCCTCCTCAGGGTGGCACCGTCAACGATGGCCGCCCCAACGCGCCCTCATTGAGCCCCTGTCGGGCGCCCGCGGGCGTTTCTCGGGCCGAGCTGGCCGAACATCGGCATCATGCTCGTCATCCGTCCTCTTCCGTCCTCAGGTAACCCTGAGGGTCTTTCGTTTTGCTCCCCCGTGTTTCCCTCGGCGGGGAACCAAGCTCGTCCCTCCTCGTCCTCCTGCTGCTCCTCCTCCTCTTCCTGCTACTCCTCCGTCTCCCCTCAGGAGGGGAAACACACAGACACGATTCATCGTCGATTCTCACCAATAGATAGGAAAATATTGACCATGGGGGGGAGAAGACGAAAACCCAGAAAATATTTATAAATATGGGAAGTCCTTGGATTTGTGTGTATTTATTTGTGTGTTTGTGGGCCCCTTGATCCTCCTGCTCCTCCTCCTCCTCCTCCTCATCCTCCTGCTCCGCCTCGTCGTATCTTGGTCGTCGTCGTCGTCGTTATCGCCATCGTCGTCGTCGTCGTTGTTGCGCGGCGGGTGCCGCGGAGAAACATGTTCCAGGACCCCAGTCCGTCAATAAAGGCGTCTAGAAGACAATATGTTTCAATGTTGGGGGTTATATAGATCCTTAGGGTTATGTCGGGCGTGTCCCCCTACAGGGGGATTTCCGACGAAAAATAAAACATACCCCAAAAATGCACCAAAAAGGTCAAAACATACGCAAAAAAAAGTCCCCCGACTATTTTTGGACTATCTGTATTCTTTTGCGGGTATTTTTCATTTTTCGTCGAAAGTCCTCCTGCAGGGGGACAGGCCCGACTTAACCTTAGGGGCTACAAGCTGTAGATCCTGCAACGTACCACAACATTTTGGCTGGATGCCCTGGCTTGGCCTTCTAGATCTCGATCGTGTGGGTGGAGGACATCGCCACCCTGACGCACGCGCAGAGGGAGCAGCCTCGTCCAGCGTCTTGGGATCTCTGGAGGCAGCGCCAGAGCTCAAATGGCTGAACGGGTGCTCAGCCAGGGTGCGTTGAGGCGGTCATCGCCCCAGGGGCCTTCGTCACGGCGGGCAGCGGCTGCTTCACTTCGGGCTGCTGTTGTTGCCTCGCCGTCGGTTGTGGCGCTGTGCTGGGCGCCTGGTGGTGGAAAAGGGGGCTATCCTTCTCGCCATCCTCTCTACGGCTCCTCATCATCGTCGTCCTCATTCCTCATTGCTCCTTCGCGGGCTCCTGGGCTCTACGGTCCTTAGTCATCATCTTCGTCCTCCGCGGGTTCCTGGGGCAAGCTATGAGCACCTGGTTTTAAAATATTCCGAGAAAGTTCGAGAATCTAATGGCACCTGGCAAGCCAAAGACCCAAGTCATGATTCCCAGACAGTTCGACCCGATCCAGATCTTCGGTGCGCTTCGGAGACGGGGCTTGATGATCTCGACGTTCAAACTGCTGGATCATGGGAAGCATCGTAGAATAATATTGGGAGTTGGGTCTGGAGAGCTCTCATGGAGTGGGCCAGCACCGTCTCTGGAGTCTCGCAGCCACCACTTGAAGTCGTTCTGCCTGTCCTTTTGGCCAGAACATGGAGGAGTATGACGTCGACTGGTTTTCTTCACGCAGCTACTTTGCCCGAGTTGACCCGCCTGCGAAATGGCAGTTGCGTGCTGAAGCGAAGTCGCTACCTCGACTCACATGTGACCCCAATAACGCCATCGCGCCTGTCATGTTGCATGACCTCATCAGCATGTGTTCCAGTCAGCAGATCCACTAACTCACCCTGTACTGCAAAGCCGCTGAGCACCAGGTACGCTTCAAACGTGCCGCGCTTGCGAGGAGCAGGAGGAGGGGAGCGGATGCTCCGGAGGGAGATCTCTGCGTGGTCGCCCATCGGTCGCAAGCCTCTTTTCCGGAGTTCGATCTTGGAGTATCTTGAGACCGTTTGGGCGGAGGTCTCGGCGATCCCGACCATGCCGAGTGATCCCGACAGGGTAGGACTGCAGGCCAAGCTCTCAAGGTGCACTGCGCGCCTCGCCCGCCTCGCTCGGGTCGTGCTGCACCGTGCGCTCGCGCCAAGCAGTTCGCGGGCTCCTGCTCTGAGCCGATCATCGATCGACCAGTTACTCGTGGCAAGGGGCCTCGTTGGCCACGATCTCCCTCGGTCCATCCTCGCCTCGACCCTCGAGACGGCATGTAATTGCTGGAGCACGCCGGCCAGTTACAGATCAGGCACCCGGTCAGGTTCATTCGGACGTGCAGCACTGGGTGGAGGCACTCTCGCCCATGATTTGAGGTGCCCTGTCTTCCAGCCTGAAGTTGTGGGTCTCCTCCACCACCTCCCCACCGATTGGGCCACTGGTTCTCCTGGCTGTAGGATGTTTGAAATCCCCCCTGCCCGGTCTCGCTCCGATGGGCACAACATCGCCATCGCATTGGGTCTCGCGTTTAATGCGTTCAATCAGTTACCCGTAAGTGGCCCACCAGGTCGAGCTCGAATTGTTCGTCTCATGCGTGATCGTTCTCGGTAGTACGTTGTTGCTTCTGCTGTCGCTCTGCGGCTGCTTCAAGGGAAGCCCGTCTGAGCTCGCGGCCGTTTTCTTGTGGCCCCCCTTCTGATTGTTCGCCCCGCCTCCTCCTGCCCCTCCGCGGCGCCGTCAAGTTCGCCCGCCCCTACGTCGCCCCCCCCCCCCCCCCCCCCCCCCCTTTTGTCGGATTCTTCCCTGCCCACCCCAAATGACGCACACCTCCGCGATGATCACGTTGCGCCACAGATATCCCGAATCGCTGAACTCCGATCGGCCGAGCCACTTCCTGGAGCCAGCGCTCGGCCACCCACTCGGTGAAAGTGTCCTTGAGCTACTTCGCGCGGAACCCGTTTGACGTACTTGGCTGCCCCATTCCAGAGCTCCCACTGATGCAGCGCCGCCACCGTCCTCCAGCGGTGCAGCCCTGTGCGCCACTGGCGAGGAAGTAGAGGATCACTCTGGTCTTCTTGGTCGAAATGTGCGTTGGACATCGAGTCCTGCTCGGTCGAAATTGCGCCAGGCCCCTGCTTTGCCGCCCCGATCACCTTCCAGTTCCAGATCTCGGCCCATGGTCTCGGAGAGCCACTTCGTCGCCACTGCGTCGTCATGAAATGAAGCACCTGCGCCGCACTTTCGCCGTCTGGAAGATCAGCTGATGGAGGCTATTTTGCACCGCGTTGAAAGTCTTCACGCTTCGCGTATCCCCGCCAGCCTCACCGGGGCTCGTGGGCCCGCGACTCGCCTGGAGTCTGCCGCCTCCTCTTCCCGCCCGGGGTTGACGGACATCCGGTCCTCCCCCTCGTTGCCCCCTCTCTGGGTCCTGCTAGTGCCCCCTGGCGATGGTCCCCCGCCGGTTATCTGTTGGAGTTTGGCTTCCCACGCCCACCCCTCGCGCCATCTGGTGATTGGCGATCCGGATTTTCCGTCGATCGCCCGCGCGGCCTGTTGCCCCTCTTGTCGAGGCCCGTCGTGGTGGGACGATTTCTGGCCGTGTCCCTGGCGCTGTTCCTCGCGACGTTCTTCCACACCCATGTCGAGGACTTTACAAGTACCTCGTGGTGCTGCACGACGCCCAGGAACTCGTCCTACTGGCGCCTTTCTGAGCGGCAGTGAGGTTCGCCCGCTGCTCGTCTCCTCCACTGTTCTTGCTCTTTTTCGCTTCGCCCTTCCTTTTCCGTGCGCTAATTTAGGCCGTTGCATCGACGTTTCGTTCTGACGGCGCCCGGCGTCTTCCGGTGCGTTTGCGATCAAAAAGTATCCCCACCAGCCCGAACAGATGCCCTGCCCACGAGAGCTGCCAGAATTGGGCCAAAACCCAAGTAAAACCAACGATTTGGGCGCCCAGAGGGCTGGTGGGACATTTTTCAGCCCCCCCCCCCAAGAGGCCAACATGGGACCAAATCCTGTTGCAAAACCAATGATTTGGGCTTCCTCGCCGAGACCGCGCTGGGCGCCCTGACACCTCGCGGGGCCCCCCAAAAAAATACAAGTACGCGGGGCCCCTCCCCGTAGGTGAAGAGGGCTTTCTAGAAGATGGAGGAGGAATCTGGTTAGA